TGGGGGGGGGGGGGGGGGGGGGTACTCTTATTCGTTATGTTTTGCGTGCCATAGCTGGGAGCCACTGGGAGGGAGGGAGGGGGGGAGGGTCATGGAAGGTTCTGCCTCGCAGGGCGTGGTCCATAGTTTTCGCATGCGCATACAACTCATCTTTCATTCTTTCCCGCCTTGTTGGCATATTCCCTGCAGTTATTAGTGGTTGCATTGCAACAGGATCGCTTAAGTTATCGAGTTCGTATTTGCGTTTATCGCCGGAATGGCGTGATAAGACGGTGTAAGCAGGTCCCCTGCCATCACCCCCCACCCCCCACCCACCCCCCGCTCAGGAGCACACGTAAAAGATGCCCTGCAAATGCGGGAGGTAGTTGCGGGCAGTGTTATCACACCCACTCCCTACACGCGTGGCAGCAGGCACGGTAGTAGGCTAATTACAGGCGCTAACACGCCCGTTCGTTATTGCATCCCTACAGACCCGCCAAGTGTGCAGCAGTGGTATAACCCGCCGTGCAAATGACACCCCTGGTTATTACACCCTCTGTGTATCACGCCCTCTAGGTTTTACACCCCTTTGTTACCACCCCCCTTTTCGGTCCCTCGAAGTAGGTGGCAGGAGCACCACGCCCCCTATTTACCACCCCCTCCGTTCACGAGTCCAACGGCCGCACTTTATCTCACGGGCAACCTGAGGTTCACACACTCCACATAATACAACACCCGGTGATTTTTTTAGCGGAAACGCGAAAACGCTATCCTCGGGGCGTAATTTATTGTGTTGCAGACGGCAATAGAAGAGTAACCCCACTCCGTTCGGGGTGTACGCATCACTTTTGGTTGTGATGCATTGTATGCTTAGCTCATAGACCCGTGTGGCTATGCGTACCGCTGCGGCAGGATAATGTCTCATGTTCAACTTCGTCAGAACGACTAGGTCGCTCCGCGGAACGAACGCGCGCGGGCACATCATTAAAAAATAGCAATGCCATAGGTAACGTCATCGTAGAAAGTAAGCCGACGAATGTATCGTCGGAGTTGATATTCCCAGACTGGATATTGCTTGTGTTCTACGTTTCAGGCTTCATGGGGGAATGAGGAGAGACTCGTGTATGCAAAACGTGGATACACGACAGGTGCGCCGCCACTTGAAGTATTGCGAAAAACGCAAAAAAAAAAAAAAAAGAAGATAATCAAAATACGGTTGGTCGTTAGAAAACAGTAAGCACCAGAAGTAAAGATTTCCCTACGGCAACCTGCTCACTCATCATCGATCGTTCTTCATGCCCAAGTAGGCTACTTGTGAGGTGGCCTAGCGGTTGTAAAGTGATCGTACGTGGGGTCTACTTTTAATTGTGCAACAAATAGCCATCGTCGGTGGATGCTAGCTGGCGGCGGCAACGGCGCCACAGACGCCTCTCCAACATTCGTTCGAAACTATTCCGCGATGACAGAAAATTTTGGGCATCCTAGGGCCTCGAGCACAGGCAAGTAAGAGTTACACGCGCCCTCCCCGCGCAGATCGTGGACAAATTTCACAGTCTAATGGCGACAGCTACTCCCTGATAACCCGGCAACGCGCACACCGAAATGGCCACAATAGAAAAATCCATCGATTCGCGTCAATATACCCTGCGAGAAACAGGCACCTAATTGTTCTAGTCTACGGCACCGCATTGACCCATCCTGCCAACATCAGAACATTCCACGAGTAAGTGCAGTCATTACGGAAGGACCATCCCCTCTCTAGACGCGACACAAATCGCCTGTCATCGTCGATATGGTGAAGTTGTCCAATCTTCGTTTGTCACAGTCTGCGCCTGTATCCTGGAGTGAACGAGAGAACGGCAAAACAATCGGATCGAAGCGGAACGGTAAGATAAATAATAGCCATTAGGTCAAGTTTCCGGCTCATTTACAAGGAAAGGAGTACCTAGCTTACGAGCCTGTAGCGGCCAACAACAACAACAGCATTACAACCCAATACAAGACATGATGATATCAAACGAACTGGACGAAGGAGGATCGTAGCCGCAGCAGTACGTCAATACCAGGGGTGCAAACAAAAACGATCCCCAGCACATGGAAGTGCGGCGCAGCAACAAGTGTGAAGTACAAATGGGGGAGGACAACCGGAGCATCCAATCGGCAACGCAAGCAGTAAGTTCTAATACTCGAGCAACGGGAATGTCCTGGATATTGCAACACACCTGCATGCACCATCCACTCACTTCAAAGGGCGGTTCCTCGGACCGTCTCGTGGAAGGCCGGCGCGTGCATGAGCAATCCCGCCCACTTGTCGTACTTAATCGCGGAACTAGACCATCCGGCTAGTCAGCGCTGACTAGCCGGATGGTCTAGTTCCGCGATTAGTATACTTACACGTGAACACAACCCTGCCCACCCCCCTTCACGTCTTTGTTGTACGGCCATGCTCTTCTTGCGGCACCGCCCACAGCCTGACCCTTGCCGACCCACGCGCTGCCGTCAGCGCAAAGGCAGACGCGCGGTCAACGAAGAGTTAGACGATGCCGGGATCATCGTGACCAATTTTCTCCGGGCCCAAGAAGCAAGCCAACTCTTTTTCATCCTGTGTCTGTCGTTTCGCGCAGTCGCCGTGAGGTATATGCTCCCCTGACGGTGGATGCAACTGGCGAAAACATTACCGGACAGGGAGCGGAAATTTCCGGTGGTTGGTTAAAATGTATTCCTCGCAAAGATTCCTTCATTGTTACTGCCCCACTCGTGACTGGAGGAATAACGGAATACACGAAAATACTTGGTGTCATGTGCTGCGGAGAGAGAGTTCACTGCCATATGCACACGCGAAAAGGAACATAGCAGTAGTTCAGCATAATGTCTACATGTAGCGGAAACTACAGTATAATGCTCAACACCAAGATTTGTGCGCCCGACATTGCAGTGTCTGAGATGGGCAGCATGTTCCACCGAAATGTCATCAAACGGGGGAGGGTCATCTGCCTTGCGTCTCCCTGTCTCCCAGCGATCGTCCCATGTGCACCCCAGTCAAGGCAAGATGATGCTGTCACGAGAACAACATGAAACGTTAATCCCGGCGCGTAACACATTAACGAAGGGCCATCTGGGACCCTTATTGGCAGATGCTGTCGAAATGGCATCTGGGACCCGTCCGCCGTCTCGAGGACTCGCGCGGTCCTCACCCCCTGGACCCTTATTGGACAATTAGCCGCCACACTACATCGAAGCTTCACCCGCTGGTTGGGTCCCACGCACTTGCCCATTTGAACTTGGGGTCAGATACCGGCTCTGTACACGAGTATAGAAGCAGGCTCT